TCATTCCATTCTATATTGGTCCCATTCCATTTCAGTCCAATTATTTTCATTTCCCTCGACCTCTATGGTATTCACATTCAATTTTATTCCAATTTCCTTCCGCACTCCTTCAATATTATTCAATTTTTATTTAAATTTCATATATTCTGCTTAGTCTGAGGGTTGTTCAAGCTCTGCACTTCCATATATGACATTTTGAGTCCCTGGGGTCTAGAGTCTAGGTACTTACCTAATGTAATCCAACATTATTATTATTACATTATATTTTTACTATTTGCAATGAAAGGATTAGATTTCAACCTATTTGTTCCTTCGATAAGCAAAGTTATCCAACTATTTTTGCTTATTAAGTAACTTTGCTGTTCGGGTAGCTCATCAGAACTGACGACTGCTCGAGCTAAGTAGCAGCTCACCTGATGAAGCAACTTTTATTATGTGAAGCCTCGAATATACACACACGTGTGTCCACAATACACACAGACACACTCACACACACACACATACAGAACATATGTATGTATGGTCGTTTTCGTTTGCACAAATTGACTGTTGATGTTCTGTCGCGTCCGTATGCCACATCCGCCGGGGGGAATCGTAACTGATTGCAATTAATTTGGCCCAGTCAACATGCCAATGACTGTAGCCATCGTCCAGACTGCGGCAGGAGGGGCGGGCAGGCATCTGGGTCTGCTTTACGTGCAGCGCACGGGACTTAAGCGTCAATAGTTCGACACGTGGAGCAGCGAGCCCGGTTCCGGCGTATCTGAGTCGGCGTCGCCCTTATGTAAATGATGAGCGCCATCAAGGTGTTGTTGCCTTTCGCTTATTGCAGGTGTTTGTTAACGGGTTGCCCCACCCGATCCACACCCACGCGAAGCAAAGACATAACCCACTGAAATGCCAGAGCATAAATCAAGCTACTTGCCATGGTTCAAGGTTTGTCTCTGACTCCGACGGTGGCTCCGACTGTGGCTCTGGCTTTTGTCACCAAATCATTCCAAGGGCAAAATATTCTGTCGCAGGTGCAATTCTCCACTTGAAATGGTTGCAAAACAACTGTGACAATACCTGACTAATGAATGCCCTGTAATTCTGTGAACTACATAAATCGAAATGTAAATAACAGACTAGCATATGCTCTGCGGGAAAAAATGACTCCCAATAGAAGTGATATATACTAACAATTTTAGTGTAATGACACGTATCCATCCATGCTTCCTTCCCATTCCCATGCCACATAGTTTATTTCCAATCTCATTTCAATTTCATTTTATTTTCACTTGAAATATAATCATGTTCTAATTCTCTCGTTCCGCTTCGAATTCTCCCCATTCCTTTCCATTTCAATTGTACTTTATGCTGATTCCTATTCCTTATAAATTAATTTGATTTGAACTAGATACATATTTAGCATAAGTTACTTGTAGCTTACTTCCCTTATGCTCACAAGGGCGACAACCCCCTTTGCGAATGTATGCAGGGTATGTGACTAGAATATGAGACAACTAAAAATGTAGGTGGATAGATAGGGAGGTGACATAAGTGAATGGAATGCCCGACTTCTGCCCATGCTCAATCGAACTGGGAACGAGAGCGAGCGGGACAGCCACTATCGCAGAAGGACAATTCTATTCGAGGATTGTTGTGTTGCAGCTCAATAACATTTTTGCTTAACGAGCTGTCGAGTCTTTGATGCACTGTGGTGGCTGCACTGATGGCTGCTTCGGCTGCCATTAATATTCATATTTCATCCGTAATTGAATGCAATGTCTCCCTTTGTTTTCGGTTTGCTCTGATTGCAGCTTCCGCTATGGCTTCAAGATGGTCTTTCGCTGGTGTCCGTTTGTCCACGTGGGCGCCGAGTCGCTGAATCGGCGCGAGAATCTAACCTCGCGCTACTCCTGCTCCGGCTCGCCAGATCACAATCGCATCAAACGGAATGGTATGCTAATGACTCGCCCTTCCCCACTCTCCCATTCTCCCACTCACTCTCTGTCTCTCGCTCTCCCTCACTTTGCAGACACGCAGAAGTCCATACTCTATGCCTGCCCCGGCTCGCCCAAGTCGCATCGCGTTTCGCATTGTGGTAAGCAGAACTGCGCCTGGCCAGGGGTTCCTCAGGTTACTAACCTTTGCCTCTGCTTTTGCAGGTGTGCTGCGCAATTCGGCGCCGCGCTCAGGTGAGAAGGACGACCGACTGTCGCTGCCCGTGGTGCAGCAGCAGCTGAGCAGCGGCAGCAGGAGCAGCGCCCGGGCCCACAGGTCGCCCTACCAGCAGGAGCTGCAGGAGCGCTGGACCAGCGACAAGTCGAGCAGCTCCCTCACCTCGGCAACGGAATCTCGCACCACGCAGCTGCTCTCCTGACAGCCAGCGTCAGCGTCAGCGTCGGCCGAGCAGAGTCTGGAGCTGCAGATGCCGAGGCAAATCGTGGGCAACTCCAGCAGCAGCTACAACAACAACTACAGGCGCATCAACAGCGGCGCTCCACCGACGACTGCCGACGACAGGACTTGGCTCTAGATGTGCCCATCTTCATATGAAGTCTCGAATTTATCCCTAGTGAATGACTAATCGAAACCAAAACAGCTGGCTATATCCCAGATATCGCATTATATCTCATACAACTCATATATCTCTGCTGCCCGAGCTGCCCACGGAGCGTATGAGTGATGCTCTGAGGAAAGCTCAACTAGATGGAACAGCTCGCGGCGCGAGTGACGCTACTCGACGCTAGATGGCGCCAGCTACTGGAGAACTGTCGATCAGCCAGCTAGACGTGTTGCTGTAAACCAACGCTAGGTGGCGTCCTCACTCGCTTGCTTCTCATATCCTATTACGAATATTTACGATATACTTGCGGCTTTATCAAATGCATATACAATACTATCACAGTGAGTGTTAATTACAACAATTTTGAGGATCTATATGTGCAAATGCGAAATGATATGCGATATGATATGAATCGAATAAATACGTACGATTAAGGTGTTCAAAGTCGAACTCGCATGCGATTTCAAAGCAAATGAAGACTTTTCACAGCTCTTTACCCACTTGTTGTCTGTATATAAGCTAAGGCGAAAGTTTCTGTATATATATATATATATATAATGTAAGTTTGTTTCTCCCCTCTTTGTGAATTGTGAATAAAGCATCTTACTCGAAAGCCTCAAGCCTCCATATATTGCATTAACTATTTATACAATAGGGAGATATACACACGCACACACACAACACACGCACACACCATACACACACAATGTTAACATAGGACGCAACAGATTGATGAAATCTCAACCGATTAGCCGAGCGGAGCGTCGCAGCTTTGGGCCAAGTTTCTCTGTCAAAAGATGAGAAAAAATTCATATGTAAATATAAATAATTCGTTTGCCTAGCGGCCAAAACAACGTTTTGCCAATGTTGCAAAAATGTCTGTAACATACTTAAGGCATACGCACCCTATACACCCTTACACACACACACACACAAATGCTAGATAGTCAGCTTGAAGCTGTACTTATGCGCGCTTGAAAGGGTATGATAAAAGAGAGAGAGTATATTGGTTGAGCTACACTCGCCTCTCGCCTGAATCGAGTGAAGCTAGAGACTTAAAACGTGGTATATTTCTGAGTTGAGGTATGCTATAACAGAGGGCGTGGCAAAACCGACTTGGCTGCAGCTCTTGAGCTTCATTCCATAGGGGATTGACTGTTGAGCATGTTTGATCTATAAGTCCAGTTGTTTTTTTGTTGTATACCTCGATCACTTGGATATGGAAAGTGAGCGTATGATGATTAAATAAGATGATGTTATTACGATATTCAAGTTTAATATCCTAACAATACAATTGATATAGTGCAATGGGCCAACTGTCAAATAATTCTATATTTACTCATACAGATAAACCCATAGGTCACATACTTTGCCTACGCTCAGAAGGGCATATAATCAAACATATTTTAAATTTCAACTTATCTTTGTTCGATGAGCGCGTATTGGACAGTCGATGATGCTCAATCTCCAGTTATTGTTGCTGCGCTATAAATTTTTGATAAGTAACAAATTTTTGAATAAATTGCATTTGCTTTTATTTACTTTATCTGCGAGTGTGCGCATGTATGTTTGTGTGTGCGGGAGTGTATGTGTGTGTGTGTCAAAGTAATTGAGCATCTGAGCTCGCCTCCTGCGCCTTCTGCGCCTCCTGCGCCATGGCCAACGCGAACGAAATCGCTTGAGGCCTGCGCCACTAATATTTGCATAGATGTGCGCACACAATATATGTCTCCTATGAATATCCAAATACACACACACTGTCCCACTCATACGTGTGTGTGTGTGTGTGCTATACTCGTATGCCAAAATATTTATTTATGTAGCAAAAATCATGCACTTATGCTGAGCAAAACGACTTTGTCGATTTCCCATGTCCTTGCGGCGCTGTTGCTCCATCCGCCTCCTGATGCTCCTTGCTGCTCCTTTATGGCATGGAGCACGCATATCGAGCATCTATCGAGCCAGCGCCAGCTGTCGCAACAATTTATTAATAATGCATTAATCGCTTGCAGCTAATTACAAACCTGAAACGTTGCCCCACAAAATGCATAATAAATTTGGTAATTTTGCAATTTCGCAATTTGTGCTTTAAGCGAATTATAAATTGCAGCCAGAAATGCATTAGCCGCAGCCTCAGCTGCCCATATCAATGCAGTTTAATTGACTCAGCTAAGCAGTTGCAGGTCAAAGCAAAGGCCAGGCAGAGCCTTGACAGCAAACAGCATTTGGCTTCGAGCTCGTTCACAGCATAAAAGATTCAAGAAATTAAGTTTTCCTTTCCATTTGGTTAGTGGAAAGCGTTTAAGTCAAATAATTAAGGTGTATGAATGGCTTGCGAAAATATAGGTCATATTTCATTTATTTAGTTCACCTTTACATTATTTATCAAGATGCAATAGAACTTTATATTGACTGCTCCGACTCGAAAGTGATTTCCTTCCGCATTTCCTCAGTTGACTTGAACCTCGAAGGTTGAAGATGGAGCTGGAATCAACTTTCGCACTAGCACTTCGTATTTGGTTAGCCTTCTCATGGGCCAGTTCTCGTACCGAATGAAGCAGGCCCTCTGCGAAAGGTACAGAGTGCCAATGAAGAGTCCGCCATCCGTGCGAGCGCGGCAGATGTAGACGCGCTCATTTGTGACGCTTGTGCCCACAGAGACGGGATTCTTCTCCCTGAAGCCGTCGAAGCTGCGCACCCACTCATAGCTGAGGGTCTCATTGCTCACCAGAAGATCGTAGGAGTTCGCCTGATTCGAGACTGAATCGCTGTTGTAGGTGGCATAGCCAGTCTCGGCCCGAACACGCGCTGGCAGAACCGAACTTGCGGCAATGATGCGTCCCACGTAGTTCTCGTAGCCCTCTGAGTCGTAGCCGCCCAGCACAGCGTTCTCGGGAAAAGGCTTCGCCTTGTCGGAATCGACCCACCTGTCTGTAAAGTCGAAGACTCCGCCGTGAACTGCGACCAGCAGCTGGGCAGCAATTAAGGCACAGGCAAAGAGTTTCGTTGAGGAATTCATGGTGATTCGCAGCAGACTGATCGTGGACGGTTTTGTCTGGATTGTGACTTGGGTACGGCCCTTATATATGGGCTGGTCAGTGTTGTAGGGAATCACTTTCCGATAAGTGGGTTTGTGCAATAATCTTGATGTAGCTAGAGGAATACCTTTCTGACCGATTACGAATCGATTGATAAGATACGGATAGACCTCTCTCGCAGTGCATAATTCGTCATAGCTAAAACGTTGCATTAAAATGCCGTTTAAGGGGATAGATAACAAAAAACTATTAGTAATTATTTGTGGACTTGATTTTGAGTGTCGTTTAGCCATAAATTATTAATAGCACAAGAAATAACTAATATACAAAAATAATATAATATAAAGGTGCATCTTCCTCTGTAATCAAGTCGAATGTTCTCTAGTCTAGTTTCTCTATATCGAGTCTCATTTAATTTAGTTAGCCTCTCAATGAACATATTAATCCACCCAAGTACAATCTATTCTATTTTTGGACACAGCAACAATGAATGATCCCACAAGACTCGGGTAAGACTTAGCAAAGACATTGCAAACTCCATGTCAACCCACAATTCCTCAAAATTTTGTCAGATGCGAGCCAAGTACTCCTTTCCTCTATCTCCCTCTCTCGCTCTCCCTGCCTTCTTCACAATCACCCCTAAGACGCTGCTTGTGAGTGGCTCTGAAAGGAAAATAAATTCAGTAGTTTTGCATATTTTTCACACATTTCCTGTACTGTAAAATAAGTATCAATAAAAATCGAACTTTTGGCCTCTTGCATAAGCAACACTTCGAGAGCGGGAAGCTGCATATATTATATATATATATATATGTATAAGTATACGTATATACATACAGATATAAATATATTGATAAATTTCAATAAATCTTAAATCGCTGTCATTGCCTTAATATCTAAAAGCCAACACACACACACACTCACACACACACACAAACAGACTCCTTTGTGAAGTCAAAGGCCAAACGTCTGTGGCTGACACCATTCGTTGCCTACTTTTAAGCGCAGCACAAGTGCAAGAGCACACACGCATACACACACGCACACACACGCGCGAGCGCTGAAGCGGAACCGGAAGACAAAGGCGAAGGCGAAAGTTTTGGTGTGAATGGCTGAAAAGTGCGCAGCGCCCTTTAAAAAAAACACACACACACAATTGATGGCCATGTCTAATGTGTGCTCATAAGCACATGTGTGTGTATGTGTGTGTATACGTACAAGTGTGAGCCAGTGTGTGTGTCTCTTTATGCAAATACATTAAATAGGCCAACTTTTGTACAGTTTGTAATATGAATGATGTAAGCCGCATGTATGCCCCAAACACACACACACACACACATACACAGTGTGTGGTGCAAAGTGGTTTTCGGGTTTGGTTGGCGCAACTATAATTGAATCGTCCGGTTATGCAGCCGCGCAGCTTTGCACATCGCAGCGCAGCGCTGAGCCCAACCGCCGAGCAAATTATATTTGAAGCGAACAAAAATACGAAGCAATTTGCTGTGGGTGGATGCCGTGGATACGGGTGGCTACGAATGGTTACGGGTGCCTGCCGCGGCTGTGGGTGGTGCCAAGAACATTTTACAAATTTGCTGCTGTTGCTGTTGCTGCTGCTGCTGCTGTTGGTCTTGTTGTTGTTGTTGTGCTCTGTTGGCTCTGTTTAATGTGCTAAATGAGTTCATCTTGCCTTGCATCGACACGCCGCGTTGCGTCGCGCCGCGTCCCTCGCATTGCTTGGCCCCACTGATTGCAGGTATGCCTGCTGCCGGACGGCAAGTAGTTTTATTGCTGTTCTTAGCTAAAATAAGAAATCGAATTTCATTTAATTGAATTTCTGCGCCATTGGCATGCACGTTCAGTGTCCGACCCACGAGCTGAACAGGACTCGTGTTTGCAGCACGTGAGCGGAAATTCCAAAACAACATCATAAAATATCGAATACAGGTCTATTCATACAGGTAAGCGGCTGACAGATATACTGTGGATCAACCTCGAGTGCCCTGAATGCCTCAAGTTCTTTGATTGATGGACATAAATTGTGCATGCAACACAGATCCATGTAGCGCCGTCCGTCCGTCTGTCCGGCAGGCTGTCCTTCTGCCTTTATAAGAGAAAAAACATGCAGAGAACCTACATATGAAAGTTCCTGGATAGGGCTTAAAAATAGAGTCAGCTACAGCTTATCAAGCTGGCTGTTAACTCACTCCTCATTACATACCATTTTATTAACAAAGTCATCGATCACGTTGCATATTATGGAGCTCTAGCTGGCGATACACACCAATGAGAACATGTTCTTATATGTGTGTACACCATCCATTGAATATTAAGTAAGCAGAAGGAACCAAAAATGTTATATATTTTTGACCAGAACAACAAGAAATACCAGGCGAGCATAAGTGATTAGTAGGGTGCAAAATACTCGTTAACAGTGCATTCCTAATTAACATAGGGCTAACATACTAATGTTAAATAAAATTACGTTAACAGAGCTATGTTAACTTACATTTAGCAGCCTACTAGTCATTTCTGTTCGCCTGGTACCTCGGAAACTTCAACCGAATTTTTGTGAAGTAACAGGCACTCAGGAAAGAGCAGTAAGGAGCAATATTTTAGTTAACAGTAGGGTAACAGTACACTGTTATGGTAGCTAACATCATTCTGTTAACTAACAGCCACTTAACAGAATTCTGTTAACTAGCAGCAATTTAACAGAATTCTGTTAACTAACAGCCACTTAACAGAATTCTGTTAACTAACAGCCTCTTAACAGAATTCTGTTAATTAACAGCCACTTAACAGAATTCTGTTAATTAACAGCACATTAACAGCCACTTAACAGAATTCTGTTAATTAACAGCATATTAACAGCGGATTAACAGAATTATGTTACCTGACTGCTAATTAACATTTTTTAACCTGCTACTCACTTCTGTTCGCCTGGTACTTCTGAAACTACCCGTTCAAATTTTGACCCAACGGCCACAACAGCAGCCCCCTAAGTTATGCAACGATATTTTGGATAGTGCGTGTTTTGACCGTTGACCAGGAAAAGCCCTGTTAAATGAAAACACAGCTTGATTGATTATCATACAAACATTGTTTATTGACATTCAAGTTCACACAATTTTTGATTATTTACATATATTACATGATTACACTTAATACTATGAAATATTTTTGGTTTACATGACTATATTTGTTCTAAATAATATGAGGTCTAGACTAATGATGTTTCTTGACACTGTTGAGGGAAGATGAGTTATACTCTGAAAGCATAAGAGAGAAAGGCAGATTTAGATGAATGCAGTCCAGCTGGGATAGGTTCGTACTTACTCTCTGATGACTCATGATGGCTGCCCAAAGCTTTTTTGCTTTACGTCTTCATCTCTGATAACATGCGGTCTAGACTAATGCTGTTCTTGGACATTCTTGGCTGAAGAAGCATTATAATCTGAAAGCATGAATAAATTACAGAATACAATAAATTTCTGTAGGATTGGCCTCGGTATAGGTTCGCACTTACCTTGTGATGACTGATGATGAATACAGATGTCTGCTCCAGCTCTGCTTTTCAACTCTGATCAAAGGAATACAATCTTAGAGGAGAAAGTGACATGACATGTCATGACATGCAGTTCTTTACGAATATATTTCTAATACAAAATTCTGAATAGAATATTGCTGTGTTAAAGGAAATGGCAACAAGAAGATGTTTACAATACATTTATAAATTTATTAGATCATTTTTGTTTGCTTTTACAAAAATACAACCAATTTGGAAGATGGCATTAAATTTAGTCGTGTCTTCATTTGGTTTTTGGTATAAAATACTCGTGGAACGACGAATTCCACAACAATACAAGTTGGACATTGGAATGAATATATACATATATATACATGGATGTATAAAATATAGCTATATACATATATATATGTATATGTCGATAGGAATACATTCTGTACACGGGCGGCTCGTTGGCTCACTGCGTCTGGCAGATGACCTTCAGATAGTGTATCAGGTGCTGGCCAATGTTTGGCTTGATGTAGAAGATGCACTGCGTCTGGCGGCGCAGATGGTCGTCGCGGGCCTCGTCCATGTCGTGCAGCTGCAGCAGATCGCTCAACGAATCATTGCACATGGGTCCATGGACACGCGAGGCATTCAGGAAGCTAATGATGCGTTCATTGGTGAACTTCATTTGCTGCGTGGGAGAAAGAGAAAAAGTTATGAGAAATACGATTTGGATTAGGCTAGTGTTGGTACTTACGCCTTCCATGTCGTCCGACTGCTCCGGCTTTAGACTCAGGTATAGCTTGGAGGAGTCTTCGCGGTCGGCCAGCACCTCCAGCTTGAGCACAGATGAAATGAACTTCAGGTCATCGCACTTGAGCTCCATTATCACCAGCACAGTGGAGGTCAAGTAGAGCAAGGCCGGATGCAATTGGCCATTGAGCAGGAGCGTGATCTCATGGAAGAACAACAACTGATCGCTGCTCAGCTTCTCGTGCAGAAACCGCCAGATGCGGTACGAACTGTTGTGCAGGGCCACGTTGCGAGTCACGCTCGGCTCCACCTGCAACGGCATGGCATTGAAGCCCACTGTGTGCAGGACGCCCTGGCCGGTTAGCGCCAACATCTCGGCAGCTCCGCTGATCGGCTTGGTCAGGGCGCCGACTATGCCTTTGGTTAGACCCGTTAGCACGCCCACAGAGCTGCGTGCCTCCAATGTGTGATGGGCCAAGCCACCGACAGCGCCTAGCAGGCTGATGCCCAGCCCGGTCAAGCCCTGGGTCAGGCCATCGGCAAAGCCCTGGGGACGTGCACGCCGTCGCGCCTCTGTCAACTCAATGTGCTCCGAGTCCAGCGTGAGCCTATCCAGATTGCGAGCCACCGAGCCGGCCAGCTTGGTCACCGAGTTGACCGTGCCTGCGGTGACATTGCGCAGCAGCGAGGCCGAGCCCTGGGTAATGCCCACCA